AACTGGAGAGGTCAATTCTCAAAGTTTATTAAGATTTCAAATCATTGAATCAACTACAATTCTAAAATTTAAATAAAAATTTAATCATTCATAACTCAAAGCAAAATTCATCCACCCTCTGTAACTGTTTGGCGAGGGCAATGAACTCAAGGATAACTCTAGCTCAAGAGCAAATGTCCAATCAAGAAAATCACTAAAATTCATTCTCAAATAATTTTTTGCTATTAAGGATGTGACATTGATGTAGCCGACCCCACGTAGTGGGATAAAGGCTTGATGTTGTTGTTGTTGTTGTTGTAAGGATGTGACATTGATCCTTTAATTAGTGGCTTAGCTAAACAGCTCTACAGAACCCGTAGATTGGCCAGATGACTGTATGTGATAAACGATTATGACTGATCCTCTTATCAATGGCTTGGCTAGACGGATCAACAAAGAACTTGTGGTTTGGCTAGAACGATTCCACATGGTAAATGATTATGATCGCAGTTTTCTGACCTAGTAACTTGGTTGAACGACTCCACTATATTGCAGTCACGGCTAAAAACCCGTATGTTCCCCAATGGCTAATGACATTGAGTAATGAATTATAGTGTATAGTCGATAGAGTATAAAACCCTCTATTAGCTAAAGTTGACTTGAATTTGTCCCTTACACAATCATTAAACCCATATCTACAAGGTACCCTTATATGAAGCAACCGATGGTTGCCGATAAAGATTATTCGGTCAGGTTGGGTCGACTACCTCCTCTGACTAAGTAGACTACGGATCATGATGACCGAGGACAATGGAACTATGAGATCTTGATCGGGTTCATTTCCCCTATCATTCGCTTAAAGTGCAAGTAGCAAATTTATAATTCTAAATTCTAAATATGTTGCTATTATATTCTAGATACTAAGTATTTGTTTAACGACTATCCTTAATCGAAAGTGTTCTCTCGTTATCGAGAGGAATAATTAACTATAGGGGCTTGCACTTATAGGAAACTAGAATTCAATATTTTAAAATCCTTACTAAGAGAGTAAAATCTCCATGTAGCATATTGCCTCTATCTAATCTGCCTTCCAAAAATATATAGGGGCTATTTGGTTGCCTGAAAAATGAAATAAGTGTAAAAATAATGCGAAGTAAAAAAGAATACTTTGGAACTATTTGGATGAGTGAAAATGGAACGCAGGACTTTACATTTTTTTGTTTGGTTTGAAGTAAAGTGAATGCTATGTAAATTGTAAGAAGGTTGTGACCGGGATGGCCAGTAGCCGATGGTGAGAGATCAAAGTGTGCTTAAAAAAAGGGTGAGGGTTCAAATAATTTACACTAATGGTATTGTGCTATTATATTACTTCAGATTAGAAGTGTAGCCCAATATTTGCATGCGCTTAAGGTGGCTAAATATGAAACTTCTGCATTACAACACTCTTTATAATAATACATATAATTTAACAAGGGCGACCATCATCATGTTCATTGTACTTTGACAAATTCTGCCCAAATAATAAATACACTACAACAACGATATTACACCATTGTATACATTAAACCTAAAACATTTGTCTAAGTGATTATTGATAAAAAAAATCAAAAGTACAGCATTGTCAAAAGATTATGGAATGGTTGGAAGGATTAATCTGGAACTTAAAGGATCATTAGTTCTTTCCCTGTAAATACCACCAATTATAAGCCAGCTAGAAATTTCAGGATTCTCACCACAATCTTGATTTATTGTGGGATGATCGATTGATCGTCCAAATAATCTAAAGTAAAATTTCAGAGTTTGTTGTAAGTACTAAAAAGAACAAAAGGATAGCCAGTACACTTTACTTGAGCGATTCACATATCTCCTAGCCAACTAGAAGATCACACTTGTTATGTCTAAAATTTATAGAAAGATCACTATAATTTTCCAAAATTATGAAATATCAAACCAAAATTACAAGAATGCCCCTTAAGCACAAAAATCTTAAAAAAAACAGAGAAAAGTACACCAATAACTGTAAGCCATTTCTAAAAGATTCCAACTTGGCTTAAGTGCATAAGGAGGGGCCGGCTATTTTGCGGCATTGACAACTACGGGTCCAGGTTGGACCGATTCAGCCGGCCCCTCCTGGACCGGCCTAACATTTAGCAAGTGAAAAAAATGAAATAATTGTATGAAACAAATTATATGAACCTCCTCTTTTCCAATGGCTCCTATTAAGTGTTGCATGAGGTAAATAAATTTGAACAGAACTGCTAAAATAGAGGCATACCAAATACATGGAGTTTCTAATAATGAAGGATCTAGATATAGGTTGATGAACATAGCTGCTACAAATGAGCTACAATGATATTTTAACTAAGGGCACAAATAAGATGATTGGGAAATAGAAATCAAAGTCATGGGAGATAATGATAAACAAAAACATACTAATAGATATAAAATGAATAAAGAAGGATTAGAGAGAAAGGCTACACAGCATATTTTTATTAATTAATCTTTTTTACATATTAAACATCAAACAAATTATTTAAAAAACCATACCAACACCTCTCTGGCCATGATATTCAGACTTGTAAACAAATAATATAAAACCTTGAGAAAAGACAGTAATAATCGCATATCCATGTCATCAAATTCTATTCATCCAAATCAGAAAAAACCTATAATGCACAGACACGAACACGGCGACACGGATACGACACGAAACGGACATTGGACATGCCAGTTATTGAAAATATAAGACACAGACACGGGTTGAACACGGTATTATAGTTTTTATTTTTAAAAAATAATGTATAAAATTTAAATAAGTATAATTTTAAAAATAATTTTAAAATAATAAGTCATTTAACTAGAATTTGTGCTTAAAATGATTAGTATTAGGATGTCGAGAGTCAGACGTCAATGTCGTTTATCAGTCACAGAAAGAGGAGATGAAAATACCTTCACTGCCAAAAAGAAATGAAAATGAGAATATTCGATGATTGCGTATTAAGTGCGGATGTTGATTTGGTGTTGTGGATAGGAAATAAGAAATTTAGTTTAAATCACGCCAAATACAATAAATTATATTTAAAAAAAATCATAAAATATTTAAGATGCGCGTGTCTGACACGCGTGTCCAATTTGTATTTAATATTTTTTAATTGGACACGTTTTCGGCGTGTCCAAAACGTGTTGGAGGAGTGTCGGACGAGTGTCGTGTCGGATACGATGTCAGACACTGCACGCCTCTTTGAGGAGAAGTGTCGGTGCATCATAAGAAAAAACTCTACCATAATTTAGACATATAATATGAAGTATATGGAATGCTCCAACTTTAAGCCCTTACTCTCCCTCTATTCTTTTTCATTGTCTTTGACATTTCTAAAGCCCTGCACGCCATCTATTCTTGCCTGCCTTGGCATAGATCAGGTGCTCCGAGAACCCTAGATGGTCTTGGCGACTATTGAACTACCATGCATGTTTATCTTGAGGAGAACAGAATAGGTTTGACTCACATCATGTTACCCCCTTCATAAAGGGTGGTAAAAAATGCTTTGATGAAATTTTGAAGAAATTCCAAAGTTAAACACCAAGTTACCTTGCACAAAGGTTACTCACCAATTCTATCAAACAGCCAAGAATGCACTGGACTTGAGTATCACGCCTTTGGCAAAGTACATGAACAAAAAGAATGGCAAAATCAACTAAAGAATCAAACAAAATACCATTAAAGAACTCTTTGGTGCTGAGAACAAACATCTCCCATGTTATTGAATCTCACAAATCCAAGTGGAGTTTAGTAGGATCAGGAATGAATCTCTCAACGAAAAAAAAAAGGGATAAAACAAGGTATGAACTCTAAGGCTTTCCATCCAATGTCAATGAAAAGACTGACAATCTCGGTTCATCATTGGATGATCGTCAAGAATGTCTGAATGATCTAAAGTCAACTTTTGAAGTCTAATGTAAGGCAAAAAAGAACAAAATGATGTCAAGTGCATTGTAGATGAGCAATTCTCACTCCCGCCAACTAGAAGATAACAAATGGAAGGTCTAAAAATTTGTAGAAAAATCTCCTTAATTTTTAGAATTATGAAACTATCAAACCAAAATTACAAGCCATTGGCACCATTTTAAGCACAAAAATTTTTAAAAAAATCACAGCAAATTGCACCAATAAGTCTAAGTCATTTCCAAAGCCAATCAAACTCGGTTTATAAGTGCAAAATCTACATTCTTTTTCATTTGCAAAAATTAAAAAAAATTTAATGTTGGTTGAAATTACTTGCTACAGATTTTGGTGAGGACTTGCTTCGAAACCTTACTGTATAATTAAAGTAAACGTAAGTAGCTATTATAAAGTTTACCTTTAACATTTAGTCCCAACTAAATATAGCACATAAAGCATTTAATTCACCAATTGTTTCTTTAACCCATTTACAGTGATTGATCAATAAAATAATCTATATAAAACAACAAAATCCATACACATTTAGCTTCAGTAGCAGGTGCCACATCATAGGCTGAATTAGATTCATTCATATAACTAAACTACTTGATGCCCAAGTAAGCATCAAATATATCAAAACTTGCCTAAGTTATTTGGTTTACACAAAACACAAATTATTTGATAGTTTTAAATAATCATAACCTAGCTTGGACTTCTTTATCATGAACAAAAACTCAACTGAATCATAGAATAAGGTGCAAGCAATTAATGTAAACTGAAATACATTCAAAATTGACAACTAGTCTGAAATATCTTAAGCATATAATGGTTAACTTGTTCTTCGCCTGCATGCCTTATTTCTTTCTTGCAAACTGCTATGGCCCAAAGCTTTAGCATGTCCAAAGTAAGCTAGCCAATGCTAATAACCTAATGAACTTAGCAAGTGAGGCAACTTATATATAATTGTATGAAAAAATATATATATGAACATCCTCATTTTCCAATTGTTTATAATCGTTGCTCATTTGAATAAAAAAGAAAAAAAAATGATAGAGGCATGTGTAAAAAATGGTATAGTCACCTTCTGCTTCTTAAGCCTTTTGTTCTCCTCTTCCAATCGTGAAACCTTGTTCTCAAGCTCATTAGTATAAGCCTGACAGTAAACAAAATATAAGCCAAGTTTGTTCTATCATTGAATACCATTAAAATTTGCAGCAGGAAGAACAGACCTTAAATCATAAAAGAATTTACCCATAGGAAATGCATATATAAATCGAAAAACAAAACTTGAAAAAAATTCACCTGCTTCCTAGCCCTTGATCGGGCAGCCGATTCTCGGTTTTTAATCATCCTTTTCTGTCTCCTATCCACCAGCTTATCAGCCATGTCCCCCGAAACTGCTCGTTTACGCCCCGTCATATGCGAATCAGAAAGAGTCCCTATAGTCGTAGATCGGCTCTGCATGTAAGTATCCATTACATTCTGCTGCGCCTGCTGCTGATCAATACCTGGCATATGGTGATACTGATGCAACCAATGTGCACCATGAGCATAATCCTGAACACCTTCCATCTGATTAGTGATTACCATACCACCTACATTCATGTCCTTATGCTTAACAACAGAACCCTCTGCAACTACACCTGCCTTAACCAGAAAATCCTCCAATGTCATCTCCCCAAAAGTTGGCTGTCTCTCTTGTCCATGTCCCACCTTTCGATCCTCATTGCTAGGACCTTTCTTCCGCCGCCCTTGTTGAATGTCCCTCCACACGTCATCCACTGTTTTCTTGCTCAGAGAATGCGGCATAGTGATACTACCCTGACGTTGGAGGCCAGAGCTAGAAGCATACTGAGAGAAACCCTCAATGTCCATTCCTTGGCCTTGATTTGCCTCCCCAGGGAATACGCTCTTGAGGAGCTCATCAAGGTTCATACTATGTAAGGGCTCACCCAGCTGACTTTGGACTTCATTGAGGGTGAGTCCATAGAGGGATCCTTGCCTGGACAAGCTCTGAATCTGTGGTCGCTGCATGCCGTCACCATTGCCACCACCACCCGTAGCCGCTATTGTTTGAGTACCCATCAACCAATCTTCTCTAGTTAAATCAAAACACTCATAGTTCCTGTCTCATAACCCACATGCAAATTGCAGGAAACCCTATATGCATAAGATAAGAACAGCCCTTTTCCTTGCTTTGATTCAGTGGACAAACTAGATCAAAGAAAGACTTACAGTAGCCTCATACCAGAATAAATTGAATAGCCTAGCGGTCTCTTTGGAAAATAGCTCTGACTTTCCCTCCGCCAGAAAGAGAAAACGAGGAAAAAAGCTGCAAAAGGGCCGAAAGCTCCCACAAACTCCACTCCAGCAAAATTAACGAAACCTTAAAATCACCTCCGAGCAATCAAGAGCAAATCCGAAAGAATCTCCGATCGAAGAACTCAAGGTACAGTGACTGCAAATCTAAGAAATCGGGAGTGGAGATAGCCAAAACTTAAATTCAACACATAATATTCCAGAAGGTTCATAAAAGGAGATTTACAAGGAAATCCATCAGTCAAAATCGCATTTTGAAGAACCACAACCCTGAAATAAAGGATCTTTCATCAATCAAACCTTCTAATCCTGGATTGCCGCCCCTTTTTCTAACACAGTTTCACCGCGCCGAGTCAAAGAAGCAAAAATATCAAAATAAATAACGAGAAATCGCTCAGCTGCAAGCCTGCAACGTGGATCTTCAAATCAATGAGCGTCAACGCCGATCTGTATCTCCAATATCTCGCGCCCGAAAATCAAGAAATCTAAAAATTAGGAGTAGGACAAGTGACGCAGCGAGGAGTCGAGAAGCGCGGTGCCGGCTCTAGAAAGTAAAAGGCGCTATTTGTATGACATTGAACATGGTGACCGATAGTTCTGAACTGGTTAAGAGAGAAATTGGAGAGGAATCTCTCTGTTTAGCGCCTCTATTCACTCGTGCCTACAAAATTGTGAGCTTGTAATAGTAGTCAAATTGAAGTAGTAAATAATTAGAAGCGCTTTATTGTCATAACTTGGAACAAATATGGATAATTTGTCCTATTTTGTATGACAGCCCCTTGAAAAAATATTATGGGGATGGTATTGAAACAACAAACGGTGAACAGTTCCACTCTAGAATTTTGATGTTTATCTTTTTTGGAAAGGGAATTTTTTAATTAAGCATGCTAAATACTACAATTGTTAAATCAATTTCGTTAAAACTACGTTTATTATAGCTTTTAAATTGGGCTGCAAACGAATCGAACCGAGCCGAGTATGTGAGTGTTCATGTTTGAGTTCGTTTATTATTAGCTTGTTCAAGTTTGGTTCATGTTTGATTTGAGCTTAATTATTTGTGTTCATGTTTTGTTCGTTTAAATTAATGATGTTCATATTTGGTTCATGTTCAGTTCGTTTAGTACTTATCAAGTTTTAAACAAACAAGCCTTAACGACTTATGTTCACGATCAAATTTAGTGAATTTTTTTATACTATGAAACAAGCACATTCATGAACAAATCTAATAAGTATTCTTGAGCTATCAAATTAGCAAGATCATGAATATATACATAACTAGTACTTTCGAACTACCAAATGAACTCGTTCATGAACAAACGATCTATGATTATCTTATATTTGTTCATGAATATCTTAAACAAACAATCTAACAAATATCCATAAATGTGAAATGTCTCTTGTTCATGAACAAATTCATTCTATTGAAGGTATGAAACAAAATGAAATTAAATTTATAATAAAAGCAATTATCCATTTAAAATGAAAATATGATTAATCTATATAAATATATTAATTGAGCTTATTCGTGAGTTCTAAATCAAACATGAATCGAGCTTAATGTCGAGCTTGTTCATGAGCTTCAAATGATGTTGTTCATGAACATAAATGAACCGAACACATTGTGTTCAAGCTTGTTTATTTATGGATCGAGTATTAAAAATGTTGTTCAAGTTTGTTTGTTTAGTTAATTAAACGATCACAAACGAGCTTTAACTGAACCGAGTAACGAGTAGCTCGTCGAACGTTTGGTTTGCTTGCAGCACTACTTCTAAAAATTTATTATGTTATAAGAAAAATTTTAAAATTTTTACATGGATATTTTGATATATTTTGTATTATGATAAACTAAAAAAATTGATTTCATATGTTAAAATTTGAAATATTATACAGCTAAATTTTTTAATTTTTTTTATGATTATTGTGTTCTAAAATATTCGTGGTAGTAGAGAAATATAAAATTTAGCGTTCAAACTAGGCACAAATATTTAGCACACATAAAATAAAGAGAGAGAGGTGCAAGTAATAAGAGCCACCCAGATTTTTATGTGAAAAATTCTTAATAATGAAAAAAATCATCGGATCTAGCTGTATTAAAATGATTCTACTAATCTTCCTGAGAGGGAAGGTCTTGACTCAATATAGCATATATATAAAGAAACTATTGAGCAAATGATTAGATGAATTGACAAAAACTTATATTATTATTTAAATAAATATTAGATGAATATATTAAAAGCTACTTTTTTAAAATTAACATTTAGTTATAAAATATAAAGAGAATAAAAGTGCGAGAAAGAGAAAAGAGAGAGTTTAAAAAATTCTAAATTTTTTTATTATCATAAAATATAATATTTTATGTGCTCTAGGTTTTCCCTTTAACCTATTTTTATAGATAAGGGTTTAGATAGTTCCATTAAAAAAAATAGATTTAAGAAAAATAAATATATTATATAATGTAGTTTAATAATGACTTATCATAAATAAATAAATAAAAAATTTACTAGTATATCACTATTAATTACTTTGAATATAGATTATGTGTTTTTAATAGGTAATAAGTCCCTATTAAGCAACCCATCAAATTCATTATAACTTGTTAAGCATTTTGAGTTATCTTGTTTAGTCAGCCACTATGGCAGAGTAGATTGGCAAGTTGCTTTAATGACTTTGGAATGCTTTGTATAGTTTGCTCTTGGGCTAAGAACACTTCATTAGAGAGCCCAGTGTGCCTTAATATCAGCAAGGATTTTACAATAGAGAAAGTTACTTCATATACCTTGGTGTTGAGCATGCTAGCTTGCTTCAATGGCTCTGACAAGTTTACTCTGACATATTTAATGGATTGACATTTCTTAATTGGCCTAATAAATATGAACGGAACTAAGCGAATTTTAGATATACAATTTAACAAATTTTATGCATAACCTCCTAAAAAACTATATATGTGAGCATACTAATACATAGATTTTGCATACAAGGTGGTTCAATTATTAGTTATTACATTATATATAGGATGAGCAAAGTTTTAACTTATTCACATCCAAATAAAAAATATATAGAGGGAAATTTATATAATTGTTTAAGAATGGCCTATAATGATCTCTTCAAAATGAATAATTATTAGGTGCGGAGTGTGTATCGTCCGCACAAGCACTGGGTACAGCTAGGTACCTAATGCTTGTTGCGGACGGTTCTTCCCGTCCGCACTCCGCACCTAATAATCTTCTCCTTCAAAACAAAGAAGTGGCCGGGCAGAGCCGCAGAGCTAGATTTACATTGAATAAGTACTAAATACACTATAAGAAGTTAAGCATGTGGATCCGTCATGCATATATATACTATAAAAATGAAAGCAGAGATGTGGGTCTCTTCAACTAGTACTAGGTTTCAGATGCCACGTGTCTACGTTTGTTGATCCTATTCAGTAATCACTCTACTGTGGGCCTTTTTATCATTAAGAGTAAGAGATAGAGTAAACTGCAAAGTGTTAGCTAAGGCCTCTTTTATTATTCTATTCTATTTTAATATTTAGTTTATATGAAAAAAACTTATAATGGAATAAAAATACTATCATAAGGGTTTGAATTTCTACATTTGATATGGCATTTATTGTATTCTAAACAATTGATGCATAATCTAATTCATAAACCTAGGTTTCGTTTGTGACAACTTTCTTATTGATTCTTAAAGCAAATTTATGTACCAAAAAACTACTTAGAAAGCAATAAGAAAGTTATCTCAAACGAAACCTTAGGATGCTTTTGTCGAAAGTATGGCGTTACTTGGAAATTTGGGGGTCAGTTGGTAGTTCGATGGTGATTAGACAAAACTTCTGTGTTGGGTAGTGGTCCGATAGAACTCCGGCGTCGGGCAATGGTTCGACAGAACTCCGGTGTCGGGCGATGGTCCTGCAGAACTTCAGGCGCTAGGTGGTGGTCCGGTGGAACTCCGGCACGGGTGGTGGTCCGGCGGAACTCCAAGCATCAAGTGGTGGTCCAACGGAACTCCGAGAGTCAGGTGGTGGTTCGGCGGAACTCTAGGCGTCAGGTGGTGGTTCGGCCGAACTCCGGGCTATGGTCGAAGAGGCAAGAGTGATCTCCTATCTCTCTTTTGTTTCCTTAGGCTTTGTGGTCCCTTTTCAAGAGGAAGAAGATGTCTATTTATATATTTTCTAGAATGGCATTGCCCGTAAATAGGGAAAAGATCAAGGGGTAAATGGGGAGTGGTTTGGATGGACGATCGATATTGAATCCCTTGATTGGGGATCGTTCGTTAAACATTTGAAGGTTTGAATGATGTTGGACTTCCGTGATCTTGGGCTCGTTGGATTTGTCTCGTTCAGCCGCTCGATTCAACTATTGCATGTCATATTTGGAAACCATTTGGTAATCCAAATTATGGTTTGAACCTTCCAACAGTGCTTCGGGCCCTTGACTTGGATCCATTTGGGCTCGGATTTGAATCAATTTGGTGTCGTTGGGTTCATATTTTTTAGGCATTCAGTTCGACTATAAGTTTGTTGAAATCGGATTTCGGATGGTCCAAATTTTAAGTTTGGAAGTTTCCAATTTAATTTTGCCTTGAAATTCGTGCCTGATCATGAAATTTTTTTTGTTGATGTATCAGTTGCCTCCTTATTTTCGGACGTCGAAGCTGCAGAAGTCCGAAAATATGTGTCACAGCCTTTTGAGAATTTTTTTTACAATTTGGAACTTGAAATTAATTCAAACTTGGGCATAGAGATCTTGAATGACTTTAAAAGTGTCAAAATTGTATCTGAAACGTCGAAAAATAGTCCCGGTATCCTAAAAATGTTTGATTTGCCCCCTCCAAGGCCAAAATCGAGCCCGAAAATGAGCCGAGGCTTGGCCGCCGGATATATCGGTGTTTTCAACGGCCGGTCCTCCGGTGATTTGATCGCCAAAATTTAACGGCTGTTTGAACCGCCAGAAAATTGCGGGTACATTTAGCCGTCGAAAAATGGCCGTCAAAATTCCTTTTCTATATGGTTTATTCTAGCAATTTTAAAAACACCAAAAAAATCATCGGAAAATTTTCAAACCGATAAAAATGGCCACCGCTATTCGACCATTTTTCTATAGTGAACGAGGTATGAGCTGCAGTAAACGAAGCTCAAAACAATTCCAAGAGTAGAATTATTGGACCGGTAACACCACATGAAATCAAGATACAGAACACCCAGAAAACTAATCTCAAACATTTTATTCTCCCTCCCTTTATTACAAATGCTAAATGTTTATATAGCCAATTGTTGGCTACTTAAAACGGTACGCACTCAGCTAAAAAAAAAAAAATGGAATGCTACCTTTAAAAACTTCAAAATCCTCGTTGATGGTGTATCTTATAAATTTCATCATTTAAAAAAAAAATTTGTCCAACTTTATGAAATCGAATCATCCTTTATTAGTAGTGTATATTTTGCGAGTCATACTAATATTCCTAAAAAACTTATTTATAATTCAACTTAGAGACATAAAACATTATTTATTTAATAAAAATATTATTTTTTAGGTTTAAGTTATTGTGATGATAAAATTCCATTTAATGTCTTGAATTTAATAGGGAATGTTCATTTATGTTCTTAAAAAAAATATTACTTGTCATTGACATTCAACTGATGCAGGGTCATAATAATTATGGGTAATTAAAAATGACAATTATATTTTGT